TTATGACCGTGTCCCCAGGGGCACCCTGTGGGGGACGCTCCAGGAGTATGGGGTGGGTGGCTTTCTGTTAAGGGCCATTCAGTCCCTTTACCAGAGGAGCGTGAGTTTGGTCCGCATAGCCGGTAGTAAGTCGGACCTGTTCCCAGTGAGGGTTGGACTCCGCCAGGGCTGCCCTTTGTCACCGGTTCTGTTCATCACTTTTATGGACAGAATTTCTAGACGCAGCCGTGGTGTGGAGTGTGTCAAGTTTGGTGGCAGGAGAATCTCGTCTCTGCTTTTTGCGGATGATGTGGTCCTCCTAGCTTCATCCAGCTCTGACCTTCAGCTCTTGCTGGGTAGGTTCGCGGCCGAATGTGAAGCGGCTGGGATGAGGATCAGCACCTCCAAATCTGAGACCATGGTTCTCGACCGGAAAAGGGTGGCTTGCCACCTCCGGGTCGGGGGAGAGGTCCTACCTCAAGTGGAGGAGTTTAAGTATATCGGGGTCTTGTTCACGAGTGAGGGTAGGAGGGATCGGGAGATCGACAGGCGGATTGGTTCGGCGTCTGCAGTGATGCGGACGCTGAGCCGATCTGTCGTGGGGAAGAGGGAGCTGAGCCAGAAAGCCAGGCTCTCGATTTACCGGTCGATCTACGTCCCAATCCTCACCTATGGTCATGAGCTTTGGGTAATGACTGAAAGAACGAGGTCGCGGATACAAGCGGCCGAAATGAGTTTCCTCCGTAGGGTGGCTGGGCTCAGCCTTAGAGATAGGGTGAGGAGCTCGGACATTCGAGAGGGACTCGGAGTAGAACCGCTGCTCCTCCGGATCGAAAGGAGCCAGTTGAGGTGGTTTGGGCATCTGGTCAGGATGCCTCCTGGACGCCTCCCCGGGGAGGTGTTTCGGGCATGTCCTGCCGGCAGAAGGCCCCCGGGTCGACCCAGGACACGTTGGAGAGGTTACATCTCCAATCTGGTCCGGGAACGCCTTGGGGTCCTGCCGGAGGAGCTGGTGGACAAGGCCGGGGAGAGAACGGCCTGGAGCTCCCTGGTTGGGATGCTGCCCCCGCGACCCGGACCCGGATAAGCGGAGGAAGACGAGACGAGGCAAAAAGTAACAAAACCATTTGAAAGCCGCTATTTGTGGATTCTCTGAAAGTTTCCATGGAGTGTGTGACAACTTATTTTTTCATTGATCCTATCGTCTAATCTCACAGCTGAAACAAGCATCCTTGATAATCTGTGCACAGGAAGCTTACCGATGCTGTAGTAAAACAAAAGGTATAATAATTTATTATTAATAAAACCTTGTTGCAGCACTAAAGCATAAAAATGAGATTTTGCATTAAATATGCAAAATATTTACATATGAATTGTTTTAGAGCCCTTTTATTGGCAGAATCTGATATTAATTTAGTTCTTACAAAAAATGGGTCCCAACATGGTTTGTGTGGCGTTGCCATAGTGTGACGTCATAGGCACAGATCCTCTGTCCTCTTGTTTGGAAATGGAAATATGGTCACCCTACATTAAACAAACTGTCCACCCGGGCTTTTGCACTGCACAGAGACGCTTCGCTGCCTATGACTTTGAACGTCAGTTGAGAGTCAGTCTCATGCAGACTAACCAATGAAGAGAGGGCCTCAAGTTAAGACCATCTCCTCATTGGTCAGTCCACACGAGGTGGGTCAAAGGTTACTCTGGGCGGGTTACGTGTTGTCAGGCATTCAAGTATTGAGTATATTTACTGCATATTACAGTAAAATATTCTGTATGTGACCATATTATGGTGATCCTCGGGTCGTGATGATGGAGCCCTTGAATATTGTTGCCCAGGGTACAACAAAGTGTTAATCTGGCCCTGGTTCAGCCGTCACATTCCCGCAGAAACTGGTTGATCACACCGGGGCCAGACTACTAGCATGTGGTTTTACAACCACAATGTCCTCGGAAGCAAAAACGCTTTTAAAAGGGAGGGAGGAGTCCTAACTGTTGCTGCAGGCGTGTTGTGTGAGAGTGCAGTTATTTACTGGTTAATATATTTTTGGGTTCAGTTGCTTTCATGTGGCCTAATGTGAGTCTATTTGGGATCATTGGAATGATCAGCAGCATTTCTTGATGTGACTTTATGGCAGTTGCCCAGGGCATCATCGAAAGGAGGATGGCATTCATTTACTTTTGTTTTATTTGGTATTTTTTCAGTCATTTTTGGAAATAGTGATCAATTTTGATTAATTCACAGCCTATGTTTAATTACATTTAAAATAAATGTTAACAGATGAGATCAAACAAAACAGATGAGAATTGCCCTTAAGCTGTTTAACTTGGACCAAGCATTTTAGGTCACAGATAGATGTAGCTTAGGGTCTCTGTCTATACACCTTATAAGACAATTTAGGTGATGGCATGTTGTTTTTCTGCTATTGAACTGTTTTCTAATAATGTTGTGTTAAATAAAGTGAAGGAAGGAGAGAAATAACGTTTCCCTAGCAGTTTTTAAAAATTTCCCAATGTAATCCGATTAATCGATTAATCGTGTCGAGACCCCATCCGATTAATCGATTATCCAAATAATCGTTTGTTGCAGCCCTACAGCAAAGACACAAACCATTGTAAAAGGCAGAGACGGTCCAAGGTTTGGGATCAAGAGTAAACTATGAGCAGATTGGCTAATGCTAAAGCTAGGTGGTGTCACATTCACAGTCAAGTGGGGTTCTGAAAAAAGCTAAACTAAAGAATGACTAAACTCAACAAGTGGAAGAAAACTCCCCACTGAGCCATTTATTTGTGGATGTCTGCAGCCTGCAGTGGTATGGAGCAGCTACCTGGACAGGAATTTTAGACACAGCCGAGGTTTTAAGGGGATCCGTTTTGGTGGCCTGAGGATCGGGTCTCTGCTTTTTTGCAGATGATGTGGTCCTGTTGGCTTCATCAGAACGTGATCTCTGGCTCTCACTGGAGCGGTTTGCAGCAGAGTGTGAAGCGGCTGGGATGAGAATCAGCTCCTCTAAATCTGAGATCATGGTCTTGAATCGGAAAATGGTAGAATGTCTTCTCCGGGTCTGCAGTGATGCGGATGTTGTAGCGGTCTGTCATGGTGAAGAGAGAGCTGATCCAGAAGGCAAAGCTCTCGATTTACTGGTCTATACGTTCCTACCCTCATCTATGGTCACAAGCTTTGGTAGTGACGGAAACAACGAGATGGTGGACCCAAGCTGCCGAAGTGAGTTTTCTCTACAGGGTTTCTGGGCTCTCCCTTAGAAATAGGGAGAAAAGCCCGGTCATCCAGGAGGGGCTCGGAGTAGATCTGCTGCTCCTCCACATCAAGAGGAGCCAGTTGAGGTGGCTCGGGCGTCTGGTCAGGATGCCTTCTGACGTTTGACATTTCAGCCTCATAAGTTAGGTTTTTTTTCATCATATTTTCAGCAGCAGACCACAGTCTCGTTTCACTTGAAACGTTGTCAAATTGAATATTCGATCAATTGACAGAGGATTCGATAGAATATTTGAATACTAAATTATTAGATTGCTGCAGTCCTGAATCCAAGGGTATGGTTTCCAGGTAGAAGGCATTGCTTACAAAAATAACATATTTAATAAAAAAATTTACATCTCAATAGTGCCAACAGTAATATTTGATCATGTGTTGTGTGCACTGCTGGTCTGGAAGGTGTAAAATTGTCAAATACAGTCCTTTTAGATGGACTGAGATAATTATCAGATTTTGTTGATTGCAGCTTTGCAAATGTGCATTCATGGCCAAAAATAAAGTTAGCTAATGTTATTGAAAGATTGTCTTACCAAATTTGGATGGCTTGTGCTGAATTTTCTTCACCAGGATCTCTATCAGCACCTGTTGGCATAAAACGGCAAATCCTATGTATTTTGCGGTCTTGTGTTGTTAAAACTAATGGTGTGTATCTGGCGTTGCGATCAATATCACAGTACAGGGTAAATAATCTCGTACATTGTGATTCTAGCAACCAGGAAACATTTGAAAGTTTTAAGACCGACTTTAAATGAAAAAGTCAGATCAGACGATTCAAAGACACGTCCGGTGTTCCAGCGAAGCCTTGTTCTGTCAGAGGGAAGGCGGTAAACACTGCTGCCACCTAGCACTCGGAGTTTGACCCTCATCACACAAAACAAACTGGGTCAATGTTTGCATATAAATACTTAATAATAACTCTGATACACTGCTTTTAAATGGCAAGGATTCATTGTCATAAGATGATATTTTGTGATATTTTATTGCATTCCTCCCTAATTAAAAGAATCACAAAATGTAATGTTTTTTATTAAAGTGTCAAATTGTTGGGACACTGTAACTTAATTCTTCTGCTTTGTGGCTGTTTGGCTGCCTGCCAGATAGTAAAAAACACATTTGTTTAAAAAGTTGTGATAACATTTTGATCTCTCTGTTGTTGACCTCTGTTGCCCACCCCCGATGCATACATTAGATATTATGCCTTTTGTTTAACAGAATCTTTATTCGTAGATGATGTTAAATCTCAGCTGTGCCGTTGTTCTCTGGTTAATGCTGGGTAAAGACTTCTTTAGGTAACCCGTACACATTTCTGGTTAAAACACACCAATAAAGGCTTGTTTGGGTACATGATGCAGATATTCAGTGATCATGTTCTTGTAGTCGAGAGGAGTCGGTTGAGGTGGCTCGTGCATCTGGTCAGGATGCCTCCTGGACGCCTCCTTGGTGAGGTTTTCCGGGCACGTCCAACCGGGAGGAGACCTAAAGGTAGACCCAGGACACGGTGGAGGGACTATTAGGCTCTCACCTGGCCAGGGAACGCCTTGGGATTTCCCCGGAGGAGCTGGCCCAAGTGGCTGGGGAGAGGGAAGTCTGGGCCTCTCGAGACTACTGCCCCCGCGACCCGACTCTGGATAAGAGGATGAAAATGGATGGATGTTCTTGTAGTGCAGTTTTTCTGTGGGACACTGAGGAAGGCCATTATCGTAACAGTAAAGCTTTTAACTCCCAATAACTTTGCTCTTCTTTCCATCAGTCCATCCTGCTGCTGGGAGGTGTGGCGCTTGCCTGTCTGGCTCTGGACCTCCTTTTCCTGCTCATCTACTCCATTTGTCTGTGCTGCCGGCGGAGCAAGAGCGAGGAGCAGCCCAACGCTGACTGTTGTTGCACAGCCTGGTGCGTCATCATTGCAACACTTGTGTGCAGGTGAGTATAAACACACTGGATGGGATCCAACTCCTCAGTTTAAACAGCCAAGCATAATTAGCTCTCATGTTTAATGTAACCCTCTCCTTCAACATATTTGGAGGAAATGCTTCAGAATGAAACTCCGTTATTGTCCGATTTCAGGTGTCGAATTGTCATTGAAAGCAGGTTTTTGCGAAGGCAGCTGGAATTTCACATGATCTGCAAGATCTTAATCATGAAGAAGTCCACTTTGCCAGCCTCTTAACTGTGTGCTTCTGAGCGAAGCATCCTTCTGGACCAATTGGTGTCCTACATCAGCAGTTATTAGGGGAGTGGGGAGAAGCAACTTTTATTTTCTGCTGATTTACTCTTTCCTTCGCCTGCTGACGGTGTACATGCTAGAGTCGCCTACTGTGAATTTACACAAATTCTGTTTATTTTTTGTCCGCATGCCAACGGCGGCCTAGCTTCATTTTTAGTTTGCTGTTTTTAATGTTTTAAATAGAAAGGTGTGAGAATTGACCATCTGCTCATGTTTTCTGGCCCTGAACTCAGCGTTTGTTTCCTGTTTTCCTCCTCCTGTTGATGGGCCTCCAGAGAGCCATCAGTTGATTCAGAGCCACACAAAGAGCTCAGGGACCCGACGAGTACAAGAGCTGCATTACAATCACGCACAAACGTTTTACTGAAAACAGGAAAACTCCGATCAAACATATCCGTGCTTTTGTTCTTTTACACCGCCTGCATTTAAAAAGCCACATTTCCTACACAGTGGCGTTATCTTGATGCTGTTTTAAAATGTTTTCTCAGCTAATTTTCAGGTATTTAATTTTTTCCACAGATACGTCTTGCAGCTTGTTTTCATTAAACAACCTTTGTTCACTTAGTTCTCAGAAAAGTGAGAAAAGTAGAGATTAGCTGCCGTTCAGGACGACGGAGAACCTTCTAGCTAAACACTGTTGGACCGACAGTGGCTAAAAAGCTGTTTGAAACAAGAAGAAGGTTCTAAAATCTCCCAAGAGCAACACTGAGGGGCATCCATGCTCTTGACAGAGATCTTCTTTTTTGGTTTGGATTCTCTGCAAAGCTCTGAAAATCTTTCCTTTCCACTGACTAAGGACTATGGAGTAAATATGTGTACAATCATTAAGACAAAGTCTTCATCATTTGTGAGCATCATCATTTTTCTTGTTCGTGTACATCTTAGTGTGTGAGTGGAGGCTCGTCAGAGCCCGCGAGCGCTGACCTGCTGCCTGAGAGCAGCCCTTTTCAGCCAGAGTGTGGGTTTGGGGCATAGCTGGTCCATTCCTCTGTGTCTCCGTGGTTCTGTAAGGAGTCTTTCTGCTGAAGCTGAAAGGAGCCTGTTGACTGGGGTGTGAACTGACAGGGTTAAAACAGAGTTCACACGCCTCTCACCCAGCCAAGCTTTCCCACTCATTCGGTTTTCTTCTCTCTGTCTCACCCCTCAATCCCTCCTTTTCTTTTGTCCTGCCCCAGTGCTGGCATTGCTGTCGGTTTCTATGGGAATGGAGAGACTTGTGACGGAGTGAATCGAATGACGTATTCCCTCCGCCATGCTAACCGCACAATCACTGGAGTGAAAAAGCTGGTAGGATCAAGAAAGTGAATTACACCATTCATCACCGTTCTTTCATTAGAGCTCTGCAGTGAGTCCCTCCTTCTCTAAACTCCATCATGACCTTGTTGGTGTGTGTTGGACCCAGGTACATGACAGCACCGCATCACTGAACCAGACAGTAGAAGACGATCTGCAACAGCTTGAGGGCCAGTATGCTCAGCATGCCGACTACCTCTCCATCATCCATAAGCTGCAGGGCCAACTGGACGAGCTGGTCAGACAGATGGGCGATATTCCTTTCTGGGACAACCACAAGATTTCCCTGGAAGATGTGGCTGTTAGGATTGAACTGTATGACTGGTACAGGTAAGACCGTAGTAGTGAACTCCGCACACTGGCCACTGACTGAGGCAGCAGCACAGAAACTGGCTGAAATATATCTTTGTTATGCAGAATTTTACCACTGATTCATTGTTTCTTAGTTCTGTAAGTAGGTCAGTTTTATTTATATAGCACTCATCACAGAAAGAAAATCACCAAGTACTTCACAGAGATCAACAAAACAAATCATAAAGTCATCAAATCATCATGATCTTATAAGCAAAACAGCAAATATCATAAAATTAATTACGATCAGAAAAAAATCATGAATTTATAAAATGATCATAAATATAATTAAACCAAATAAAAGACGCTTCTAAAGATGGGTTAAAAAAGAAGAAAACACTTAATATTTAGGTAAAAGCGGCTTTTGAAATGAGATCTTCAGCACATTTTAAAGGTGTCCAGACTGTCATTACTACCTAAGGATAAAGGAAGATCAGTCCAAAGTCGAGATGCAACAGCCTGGGAAGAGTGATCACCTCGACTTTTATATCTGGTCTTTGGAAACCCGGGTGTTATCGTGTTTATTTGTCACTGAGCTTTGTGAGGCAGTGTGTTTTTTTTTTTATTTATTCAACAGGGGGGGAAATGAAAACAATATGCATATCAACACAATCCATCTGAATGAATAGGAGCAGATGGAGCATATTCTAAATTATCTGCTCCTTTTAACAAAATAAAATCAGTGTCGTTACAATCCTGTTCTACATTTCAGATGTAAACACATTAATTTTTTTTATCACCTGCCTGATCTGACTCTCAAACTAAAATCACTGAAACTACTTTAGTTTTCATTTTCATGATTACTTAAAGGGGTCCTTCACTGAAACTATTTCATACTTGTTATTTTTGAACGTGGTCGGCTACTCTGAGTTTTTCATGCAGACTAACCATGAAAGTTGTTGTTTTAGCATCCAGGAAACAGCAGAGAACTTCTCAGCTAGTAGAAGCTAACCATTAGCATTAGCAACTCCACAAACAACACAGCAGAACTCCTCCAGGCTTGTGTTGTTTGTGGAAATAAAACATCAATGTTGCTAAGCAAATGGAGTCAATGGTAGAGTCACGTCGTTGTTAGCCAATCAGAGGAGAGATTTCCAAATATCAGGAAATAAGACTCCCAAGTCCTGCCGCCTGAAGCTACTTTCTCCTCTTGCTGAATTCTCCACACTGATACAGGCGCACCTAAGTCGCGGGGGCAGCATCCCAACTAGGGAGTTCTAGACCTTCCTCTCCCCAGCCACCTCCACCAGCTCCTCTGGCAGGACCCCAAGGAGTTCCTGGGCCTCTTTGAAGATATACTTTCTCCAACATGTCCTGGGTCGACCAGGGGGCCTCCTGCCAGCAGGACATGCCTGAAAAACCTCCCTGGGGAGGCATCCAGGGTTTGGGCATCCTAACAAGATGCCCAAACCACCTCAACTGACTCCTCTCGATATGGAGGAGCAGCGGCTGTACTCCCAGTCTCTCTCAAATGTCCAAACTCCACACCCTCAACACCACGGCTGCACCTAGAAATCCTGTCCGTAAATGTTATGAACAAGACCAAACTAAACAAAGGGCAGCCCTGGCGGAGTCCAACCCTCACTGGGAGCAGGTCAGACTTACTGCCGGCGATGCAGACCAAACTCACGCTCCTCTGGTACAGGGACTGAATGGCCCTTAGCAAAAGACCATCCACCCCAAACTGGAGTGCCCTCCACAGGGTGCCTCTGGGGACACTATCATAAGCCCCTTCTCCAAATCCACAAAACACATGTGGATTGGTTGGGCAAATGGTTAATCTAAAGGTTGAATATGGACCAATTTAGTAAAAAGCTATATATTTTTTAAAAATAATACTTCCATGGGGTGTTTAGAGGTGGGCAGAATGAAAATGCAGTATTTTAGTTAAAAACTATATATATATAATTTTTTCTGGGTTTTATGTTTACATCTACCAGCCAGTAGAGGGCACCATTGTGGGTTGCAAAACAGTCTACTCGGCACAGCAAGTCTGGCACTGTGGGAAATGGCGGACTCTGCAAGTCTAGCTGCTGCTTCTGAGCCCAAAAAATGTCATTATGCTTCTCACAAGAGGATCGACCATAAAAGATCTAAAACCAGAGTGAGTTTATGTGATGTCTACAACAGATGGACCCCAAAAAACATTTACATACATATCAGCAGCGAACCTGGTATCCCGACGACTGGAAACCTTGTTTTATTGTTGCAACTACAACCTCCACACACTAGATGTCGCTTTGGTGTTTGTGTTCCATATTCAACCTTAAAAACACTTTTTGAATGTATTTAGTGACCCTGAATTAAGTGACCTGTCCATTTGAGCCCTCATTTGAGAGCAGTCAATCACCTATTGGCTCACATCAGGTGTGTTGTTACAGTAGCCCAAGAGCAGCAGGATGGATGCCACTAAGAAGTAATTCAGCTAGAGGGCTGGATATAGTTTAAAGCAAATGACTCAGGTCTGTCAATATTTAGTTGTCAACGCCCCGTTTCTGTCTAAAATAAGCGGCTGAGTGTTTTTACCTGCTGTCAGTTTCCAGTAGCTCCCCCTGCTTCCTGTGGGACACATTCGTGAACAACATCAAAGGATGGTTTTTAGGGATGTGAATCTTAGAGCAACTCACGATTTGATTCTATTCCGATTCTTGGGGTGCCGATTCGATTCCGAATCGATTATCGATTCTCAATTTAAATCGATTCACAATCAGTATTAACAAAGTGTGTCAGCTCCAGGATGAACTACTTTGTTGTACACATTAGTTAAAGCTATGGGACATATTTATTTGACTTAAAACTGGTCATGCTCCAAAAATGCAAATTTACAATGTAAACTGAAGCGATTCTAAAACTGTAAACGGAAGCAATCTTTTGACCAAAAGGCAACATTTATTTTTGCTTACCTTGTAAAATATAACAAATCTGTAGTTGCCTAACAGTAGCTTTGAAAGTAATACGGTCAAATACTTTTCAAGTATGTGTGGAAACAAGTTACATGAGTAATCCTGAGTACTCATTTATCAACTTAGAAAATAAATATGAGAATACCTCAAATTTCTGAGTATGGAAAAAAATACATTCAATGATCTCAATTTATGGGACCACAAAAGTAAACGGAGTACTGACTCTCCTAACTAAGATCAAAAAAGTGCATCTCAAACCTGTTACATGCCAAATATTTGAGTTCTTGGAATCGATTCTGAATCTTTATAAATAAGAATCCTGATTCAGACTTGAATCGATTTTTTTTCAGCACCTCTAATGGTTTTGTTTTGTTGTTGTGGTTGTTGTATTCCTCTGGCTGTTGGATCACAGTAAGAATGGCTGAATTAATCTAATTTATTTCCAACTGGACCACAGGCTACAGAGGAACTGACAGTGAGCTTTTCAGTGTATTGTATATGAAACAGATCATTCATTATCTTTAGTTTACCAGTTGTTATGACTCCCAGGGCCTCCACGTGACATGGTGCACCATGAGTGCACCACTCTGAGCAGAAACGAGTGTGTGGACCATCGACATTACTCATTGAGGCAGATTGCAAAGTGACCTTTAAACCAATGATCAAGATGTATCTGCTGTTTAAACCGTTTCCCTCTGCTCTCAAAAGCCTGATGCCAGAGGGTGTCAGCAGGTTTTCTGACTCGTGGCAAAAAGGGCTTAAGACTGAGGAAGTACATTTCCTTCAGATGTGCATGTTTTATCCTTAGAAATGGCTCGTTGCACTGTCATTTGACAATTTGTTAAATTGTTTTATGGCATTTGTCTCTGTAGGTGGTTGAGCTACATATCCCTTTTGCTGTTTGATGTCCTCATCTGCCTCCTTGTTCTGTTTGGCCTCATTCGCAACTCAAAGGGAACACTTATAGGGTGAGCCTCATCGTGAAATAATCATTAGCTGAACAACGTAAGCAGAGAGCAGTGATGCTGCATCAGCCTATCTGGTTCAACTCCATGTGTCTGTGTAGTTCTTCCTTTTCAGTTTTACTTATGGAGGAGAGAGAGGATTTTACACCTTTTCCTCCTCTCACCACTGTTTAACACACACACACGCACACACACACACCATCAAATTACCTCTTAGAAAAAAGAACCAGTTTCATTTGTCTCTTTTCAAAATAACAAGCACAGTTTTTACTTCTAATCTAATTTTGCTGGATTGAAGCTTCTTTTAGAAAAAAAATCTGTCTTCATCTTTCACTTTTTACAGCATAGCTGCAGTTATAGGTGTTTGTTCTCTCACCTCTTGTTTTCTAGAGTGTGCATGTTTGGTGTGGTGGCTCTTATGATCAGCTGGGTGTCTCTGGGGCTGGAGCTGGCTGTTTCTGTGGTAAGTTTCCGCAGCAGGGACTTTTCCTGGTGTCCAGCTGCATTGGTCTGTTTTAGCTAATGTGAAGTTAAATAAACCAAATGATTATTAAATGCCAGTCACAGCTTTACTTAAATGTTGCTTGTGACAAAAACAAAAAACACATTTCATAGGTTACTTAATACAGACTGGTTGTTATGAGCTGTCTCATTGATTGCATCTGTTGTTTTTCTCTTCGTTCGGCTATTTCCACAAATCCTCAAGCCTAATGCTAGTGATTAGGATGTGTGATGTCAAACATAATAACTGTGATTAGCGTGCTATTGTAGGAGAAACTGGAGCAAATTGGTTAGTTTGTCCAGAATGAAAATGGCTAAAATGCAGAATAAAGCATCATAAATCCAGGCAGTTTTTTTATTGCTTATTTAATTTAAACCGACATCATGACGTGGTTTGTTAATGTTAATGAATGCTAATCTTTATTTATGCTATGTTCACTACAAGGATTTTACTCCCATGCTGATGACTCACTCTTCACATCTAAATGTGACTGCTTTATTATTTGATTGCATAAATGGTTGCTCTCGGCTGAGATCGAGGCAGATTGTTGTGTTTTAAACCTCCTATCACGTAAATTCACATTAAATCAGAGGTGTTTTATTATGTCTGATTTATGAATAAAACTGTCATTACAGCGAGGTGTTCTTGTCTTTTAGAGCACTAGTGACTTTTGCTTTGCCCCTGATGTTTACGTCACCAAAGTGGGGAAACAGCATGGAATCATCAATAAAGGTGGGATGGGTTCTTGTCATTCTGATGCGACCAGCAAATATTCAGCTTAAAATGATAAATTCATCTGAAATATTACCAGGGATGTTGCGATGAATTATTCAGGGTTACTTTTCTCCCCATGGGTCTCAATACTTCAATTGTTGGGCTGTAGCAAGAAAACATGCTAAAAAGCTAGGCTTGTTTTTGTGCCTGCCATGGCTGCCACATCCGTGGTAAGGTCAGGAGGGCAATGGACTGTCTTTTTAAGCAGCACAGAAGGCTTTTTAACTGGTTTTAGTCATTTCCCAAGCTGGTCCATAAGGAGATGTGTGTCAGAAGGAAAAGTGCCTGAGGCTTTTGGGTTGGTGAATGACTGAGAGTGGAGCAGAGAATCAGAGAATACCGTACACTTCCTTCTCTTTCCAGCTCTCAGAGACAAACTGTACTAGAGAATAACACACACCGTGTCTGCTTAGTGTCATTTTTCAACAACAGCTTAACAAACAAGCTGTTTCCAGTTCTCTTTTATAAAATATGATAATACAAGCTGAATTCAGGTCGTCAGCTGGAATAAGAAACGGTGATTTCGGTGAAACGGTGAAGGATTTGTATTTCCTTACCCCGGTTTCACACTGGAAGCATCAGCGGTGCGGAACGGCAGCGGAACATCACTGCTTCAAATAGAATCACAGAGTGGCCAGCCTAGGCACGCTAATGGCTAGCCTCTCCAATGCTAACACCAGCCTATCCATGCTAATAGACAGCAGAGGGAGTGTTTGAACCAGTCAATGACTAGCTGAGGGCTGCTAGTCCCTAGAGTATCTAGTAGTAACGCCGGTAAAGGTGCCATTTCTCAGTAAGCAGCGCCAGCCTCTCAGTTACCGGCGCCAGCTTATCATTAATCAGGTCGGTTGTTTGCTTCAGAATTTACAAAGCCTCCTGCTGCTGGGTAGTAGTCTTAATTTTGGCCCCCATACCGTGCCATACAGTCCTAGAGTTTCACTGATTATTTTCTACAGGGTATCCGCGGGTCCTTAAAAAGTCTTAAAAAGTCTTAAATTTGCTTTTCCAAATTTAAGGCCTTGAAAATCCTTAAAAATGACAAATAATCCTTAAATCCAGTTTCCAAAGGTCTTAAATTACCAAAGACCCAATAAACAAGATTATTTTATTTCTATAAAAATTTTCGTGAATTTCTAGTTGGTGTTCAGCATTTTTTGTGTACGATGTTGGCGTAAGTGGAACCGTACACATTCAGTTGGTTGTGAGAGGGGGCTATTTTTAGATGAGCACATTAGCTGGTTAAGCTAGTGGGAGCTTGCGCCATGGGGAAGTTTAATGGTAACTGGATGGCTAATCCCACGTTCACGACGTGGTTAGCATCGGTTCCAGGCAATAGCTGGAAATTATAGCTTAAATTTAATTTTAAAAATAGCTTAAATTTGGTCAAAGTGGCCTTAAAAATGGTCGTAAAAAGTCCTAAATTTGGCTCCCTTAAACCTGCAGATACCCTGTTCTATCAGAAGCTAATGCAGGAGTTTGTTTTATTATGACACCAAATTTATTGCATCCTCTCCTGGATTTGTTTACGTTAACATCAGTTGGTTCAACAGCTCTGTTGTTTCTTATTCTACTGCCTCATAATCTCTCTTTCACTAGATTGTTTCATTGCAAACCTACCCACAATGATGAAAATGATCTCTTATCTGGGATTTTCACATTTCAAACACGTGTCTAAGCCACCAGACTTTAGTCATTAGTTTACTCGGAGGGTTTGGCGGAAGCTACTTTGCTCTCGCCAGTTCATTTACAAAAATCTTGCAGAGCAGCATGACTGGGGTGTCAGTGACTGAAACTGTATCTGAACATTTTATTCAACAAACTTTGTGACGAGAGTCAGCTGTTGTAGCTCAAAAGACAATCAGTTTGATCACAGGTCAGAATCAGGATTTTATCATCAGCAGAACTGTTGCTTCTACATGGAGTGTGTAACTAGCCAGAGTTGTTTTATTTGTGTCATTCTGTTATTTGAAGTGACGTAATAGCTGCTCCCGGCCTCTTGATGAGGCATCAGTCACACAACTCGGGGAATCTGCTCTTCCTGATACCAGCGGCCGAGGGTGGACAGCGGCTTGTATGTTATGTACTTTATGTGTGGAAGCTCTCTGTTCAGCTATGTCTGTGTGCGCGCGTGTGTGTGTGCGCGTGCACGCGGGGGGGTAAAAATCTCCTGACTCAGCAGCTAGCTTGAACGTCACTAGCAGCATGTGTCGGGTCACTGGTGGCGTTATCACAGCTTGGATTTGTGTTGCTGTACTTTTGAGTCACGCGCTCACATACAGGGTTTCTCATCCACTCTTGCTGCCGTGAGCCAACCGAAGTGGGTGGGATAAATCAAGTGCAAGTCCAAACCCCTGATTATTGCAGTCTTGTTGGGCTCATTGTTCACTGTGAGCAGCCTGCAAGTTTTAGTCTAATTCAACAACAGCGATGATGTAACCGCTCCTGGATGTTGTTTCATACTATTCCTACACCTCTCTGTTTGTTTTTGTGTTTTATTTCATTTTGAATCAATTGAAAGTTTATTTTATGATGACGCTAGGTTTACCCACTTTATGCTTTTGAAACATTTCACTCTGGAGATCAGGATCATCAGCCACACAGCTGCACTGAAGCAATTACGAAAGCACAGCAGTAGATAAGAGCTAATAAAATGTGCCGTATCTTCTGTGGAACAAAAGTGCAGCGAAGGAACATGTGAGAGAGCAGGAAATACACGATCACGCTCAAGAGATAGCAACAGAAAGTGAGTCACTCCTAAGGAACATCAGTGTTTAGCTCTATTCTTGAGGCGTTTGTTCCGTCTGCTTCACTTTTAATTTTTACCTGCACTCACATTTCTTCTGGTTGTTTAGAAGGCAGCTTCATTCACCCTAAAGCGTCTTTATGATCGTTCATGAACATTCAGATACATACTGTGATCTTATACGCATGCCGGTTTACATTCCTGCTACCAAAGCAGCCAGTAGAGTGGCTTTGTTTCTCAACATGAGTTTGTGTTCTCAGGTTAATTTTAGGATAATAACATTAAACACGTTTGGTAGAATAAGCGTGAATTCAGAAACAGTAGAATGAGTATTTGTATTGTTGCAACAATAATGAAATATTGTTTCTTTAGCTTCACTCATCTGTTTCTGTTCCTCCCAGAAATCCTGCGGTACTACCTTAACTGCAGTTCAGAGCAAAGCAACCCTTTCCAACAGGTTTGTTACATTTACCACTAATACTTGTTGTGCACCTGTAAAGCAGGGATGTGTATTTTTTAAATTCTGGCGATACGATACATATCACGATACAGGGGAGACGATACGATATATCACGATATATTGCGATACATTCAGTCAGACGTTACAAGCAATTTATTTTACTGAATTTATTGTAAGAATGTTCAGTAAACAGTCCAAACTGATGCGTAACATGTTTAACATGAGGTATCTGAACCATGAGGGAGGGATTTACATTTCAATGGTGGAAACAAATCTCGTTGCACACTGCTGCCAACTAGCGGGTGGCGATTGAATTGCACAAAACGAAAAGAAAATACGCAAATGTTTGCATGTAAATTCTTTCAAGAATTAGATACACGACTTTTGAATATCGATGTAATAATCACAGGAAAAAAATCACGATATATTGCCATATCGATATTTCTGATACACAGCTTTTGAATATCGATATAATATTGCTGGAAAAAATATCACGATATATTGCCATATCGATATTTTCTTACATCCCTACTGTAAAGGATTGTTTTTTCTGAATTAGATCTGTATGTGATAGAGTTAACTGTACCATACCACTGTATTATACGCCTAAAAACGTTGTAGCTTACGTGAGTTTAGAAATTTAAATACATTTGCCAGAAACATTTTCTTTTGAGTCTCGAAATTCTTAAAAGTAGCCGATTCATTTTTAGACACAATGATTCATTTGAAATACGTCGTAAGGAACAAATAAATGGCATGTAAAACAAAAACAAACCTCCTGTAGAAATGGTCAGGTACAAGAACTGGACTGAAATAAAGTAGAAGGCGTTGTTTTGAAAAAAATTAAAGACCTTGAGAAAGTGTGAAGAGTTGTTGATCAACGCTGGTCTGAGATTTAAAGAAAATCTGCCTTTTATGAAGTCAGACATAAAACAAGGCTGGACCTTTGCATTCCTATTGTGAGACTGACTTCTTTACTGGACCTTCTACACTTTATAATTTAAGCCACATGAATAAGTCAAACCTTTCTGAGTGCTCCTGAAGCCAAGTGCATGTAATGCTGCTTCAGATGTATATATAGTCCTTTCTGCAAACTCATAAAGCATCCGTTTGGCCAACACGAAAACAGCTGCTCAAGGCCTCTAATCACAATTTTAGACTCAGAAATCTAATAAACTTCAACTGTATTCCTACTTTTATTCTTCCTCTAGATGCTTTCTGGAGGCCACAAAGCCTTGGTGGAGATGCAGGACGACGTGTCTGAGCTGCTGCGTTCTGCCACCAGAGAATACAAACAAACCAGGGTAAGCTCCCTGTTAGCACAACCGCCACGCTACAGACTAGCTAAAGCTGTTAGTGGCGACCCTGAATGGGACTGGACTGACCTGCACCTGTCTGCACAAAGCCCACCTGGGACTCGCCTGCATTATAGCTGCCGTCACTGACACGCGGTGCTGTGCTGTTGTGCAGCGCTGCGTCTTGCTCTGTGTTGACAGAAGCATAAACGAGAGAACTGAGAGGTATTTTCCTCGTCACGTGCTCGCACACAGAAAATCACCGAGGTTGTTGAAACTTTTCTCTTTTATCAAACAGTCGGATGTGTTCAGCCAGCGCTAGATAGTTGACTAAGGGAAAAATGACAGCACTATTAAAATGACCCTACAAAGAAATCTACAGCCCCCTTCAGACAGGCCATGAAAAACGGAAATGTTCCGGAATCTGTCCGTAAGACCTTTCTGTTTGAATACAAACATCCGGATAACGTGTTCCAGAATTTATCCGGACGAAGCCCCTAGTAACAGGTCCGGACTTGTTACGGACAGGGTGGCTGCTTCAGACTGGTGAGGTAAAGATCTGGACAAGAGGGAGGGGGAGGAGGAGCGGACCGGGGGACGCTGTGCGCACCTATATAGCCCGCTGCTGTAGCATGCGGCGAACCACGGCAGTTCGCCTCCTACGGTACCGCCTAGACGCGCGACGGAGCGCTTCACACCGCTTCAGTGATTCCTTTAACCATTGAGCTTCATCATCCAGGTCTCTTATGCCTCTTCGTGTGCGCAGAATTATGCTTAAGCGCCTCGTGATTTTTATCTTGAGAGGCGCTATAGAAATGATATTTTCTTCTTCTTCTTAACATAAGTCCGATTCCCCCCCACCAGACCCCACCCCCCGCCGCCCTCAGACATCTGGAACTTTTCTCTGCTGTGTGAACGCAGCCGACAGGACAAGTTCCGGTACAAAAGTGGTGTGTCTGAAAACACAGTTCCGTTTAAAAACCGGATTGAATTGTCCACAAATGTTCCAGAATGTCTGTCTGAAAAGGGCTTACCTTTCAGCTGTAGTTGCTGTGAAAGACCCATTCATGATGAATGTTTTCCTTTTGCATTTTTAGCAGAAATGTGTCTCTAAGCTGATTCATTTTACTCTAATACCCTTTCATGGTTTTTCCTTGTAACAAACTGTGATTTAACACACAAATTGAGTGTTTTTCTTCTCGTCCATCTCAGGCGACTCTAGAGGACATTCAGGGCGTTCTGAACACCACAGAGATCAACCTCCATCAGCTCACTGCACTGGTGGACTGCCGCAGCCTGCACATGGTGAGCACAGATGAAGAGATGCTGCTGCAGCGTTGCTCTGGTGTGATGGAGAAGGGCTTCATACTGACATTTTTAAATGGTTATAAAGAAACAACTTCTGTGCATCCTTGTCCCAGTGGAGCTAACTCTACAGCATTTATGAAGCTGGCAGAATGTTGAGCAGCTGATTGCTTTTCCTTCAAGGATTGTTCCCCAGCGGCGTCCAAGTGAAAACGTGCGAGTGGTTCACATTCTGCACTAAATTTCCTCTCCTGCTTCAGAAACCGCACTAATAATTCATGATAATCGGGATCTGTTTCGTCTTACGTATCAGTTTTCCCTTTTTTGTGTTGAAATGTTGAAAGGTAAAATGCACCTGTGTTTTGTAGGACTACGTCCAGGGTATGACGGGTCTGTGCTACGACGGGCTGGAAGGCCTCATCTACCTGGTGCTCTTCTCCTTCGTCACAGCTCTCATGTTCAGCTCCGTCGTCTGCAGCGTGCCTCACACTTGGCGTGGAAAGCGGTAAGTCGTCCACCGTCCTCGTGGAATACACAGCATCTTGTTCAGGATCGTGAAAGGCCAGAAGCTCTCGTGCCATGTTTGAATTCAGGACTTCATCAACACTGAGAAATAATTCAAGAGACTATTAATTATTCATGGAGATTTCTGGAACTTGTAAAGCTTTTATGCTTTTTGGTTCATCGCAGGAACAAAGCAAACTCATCTGGGGGGGGAATAAACAGGAACTTTGTGGGATTTAGTTTTTTGTTGCTGTTTTTCCTTTGACAGCCTCAAAAGGCTCCATCTGCCTCCTCTAGGAGATGACTTCCTGTTCTCCCACCTAATTGCTCCACTTTGGCCTAAATGTGTCGTTTTAATGCAGCAGAAAACTAAAGTCGCCCTAGTTTGTTCCCCGTATGAGCAACAGATGAGGTCTGTAGGATCAGCATCATTAACTGATCACTGCATGTCATCGGGGTGGGGTGGGGGGGGGGGGGGTCATTAGTTTGAGCTCAGCTCTGGCTCTTCCAGTCAGTTTGTCTCTGAGGTTCCTTTTATTGCTATGAAGCAAGCTTCTAATTATCTTACCCATCTGGAATCGCAGCTAATGAGTGATTATTATCGAATTCATGCTTTTTTCTTGTGGATTTACAGACGGTCTATGACATCATTGTAGGAAATCAGACTGAACACTAGAGGGAGACAGGCTCTGTTGTTTTAATGTTTTGGAAGATGGTATCTGTCCATCTGAGGGTCCTCTGTGATTTATTCTTGGAGGCAAAAGGCACAAAAATTTGCTTTCCAGAAGAGGTTCTTTAACAGTTTTGCTGTTTTTGTTTCAAAACATGTCACAGATTAAATAAACATGTGACCACTTAGCATTTTTATGCCTCTTTATCTTTTCTGAAACAGCACAGCGGGTCCCCCTGGTGGCGGCAGTATTATAATGGGTTGTTGTGTGTTCGCAGCAATGACGAGGACAGTGAAGACGAGTCTCTGAGCCACGGAGGAAGGCAGAACCACGACAACCTGTACAGAGTCCACATGCCCAGTCTGTACAGCTGTGGCAGCAGCTACGGCAGCGAGACGTCCATTCCTGCCACGGCCCACACCGTCAGCAACGCTCCCGTCACAGAGTACATGTAAGGCTCCACTCAGTTAAATAACTAAAACACAGCGAGGCTGGTTCTAGGTTCCTGTGAGTCTTAGTCCCCAGAGAGAAGGTCAGTTCTGAGTCAGCAGAAGCCACTGTTGCCCTCCAGTCTGTGAAACCTAAACCTCTGGAGCTCTGAAGTGGAACAGTTTAATAGATAACGGTTTCATACTCAGATTTAATATATTGGCAGTGTACAGGAGGAAATACCATGTTTAATTTTTTAAATATTTTTTTATTAAACAGGGCTCAGAACTCTAACTTCCAGAATGCTCGCTGTGAAAACACCCCTCTGATTGGACGGGAGTCTCCTCCTCCTTCGGTAAGCGTCGCTTTCTGTATTTCTCTAGACCGCCCTTTAGTCTTCGTTTTCAGGAACTGTGTTACAGGAATTCAGGGACTGGTCCAGACTCTTGTGACCTATGCTCCAAACAGCCATCCACAGGTCTTCACCCACAGCAGCAGCTAAAGCTTCAATAAGCTCCGTTAAAGGTTCCATGTCACGCTATTGTCCACCTTTGAGAACAAAAGTAGGCGCAGTATATGATAAAATGTTACTGCTGGCACTACTGAGATGTCTATCTTAAATACGAGTTGTTTTTGTCAGCCTGAATTTATACCTGGAAATAAAACCGTTTCAGTGAGACTCCGCCCTCACCCGCTTCGACAAAACGTGCCTACAACAGCGCCTGAGGCGAGTTAGTTGCTGTGCTGGTTATGGTAGTCCACTGGTTAAGGTGTCTGCCATGTGCTGGTGTGGGTTCGACTCCCCAGTGGTTTCAGCAGTCATTTATTTAGCCAGCTGAAGCAGATGTCATGTTATATAGTTTAGTTTTATTGATTATTTTCTGCAAAATATTGTGTGTCTCTAAACATTTTTGAATTTGGACAATTTAAGCAGCAACTTGGTTTATTTACTCTGCTCAGCTCACATGGACTCACACTGGCTAAATAAACAAAGTAAAAACACAGATTATTCCTTACATTTTAAACAGTTTACCAACAAAGGGTCGAAAACATCGTACAAGCAAGTGCAGCTAACAGTTTCAAAAAGTGCCGTGTTTGGGAGGTGAACCTGCACAAAACTGCATGTCAGCCCAGTGCACTCTAACCATGTGATCACCAAGTATGCTACATGACGCTTGTCGCCTAAAGCTGGGCGGACACTGTGCGACTTTTTCACTCGTAGCACTCAGCTTCAGCTCAAACTGTACGACTTCCTCGCAGGGCAGATCTCACGAGTCATGCGCTCACACTGTACGTCTGGTAGCAGCACGTCGGACCTAAAAATGTGCTAAAAATAGCAGTTTTTACTCAACATGTCAGACTTTTTTGTCTTGCCTGTTGTCCTTCGGGAGTGCTGCAGGAGGACACACAGGGATTTATGGGGGTTGGATGAGGAAAACGAAATAAAGAAAGTAAATCTGTGTTTTGTGATCAGTTTAATCTGACATGAACACGACAAACACGCTTTCTTGACAATCTTTGTGAGTAAAAAAAACATGTAGAAATAAAAACGAACAGCGTGTGTTATTAGGGAAATAGCGAGCGGTGTTGATGCAGGATTGCGCATGCGTCGTGAGCGGTTCTGATACATTTTGGGTCACAGCTGCTCGCAGCGCCGCTTCAACAGTGCGATACCCTCACGAGGGACGAGCGAAATATTAAACACGCCAGAAGCCCGTGCGAGCTCACGATTGCTGATCGGTAGCTGGTCACGTGGCGTTAATCGCCTCTCGTAAATCCATGTACACTACACGACGCTCAGCGCAAAACTCGCCCCGATCTCGTGGATTCTCGCACGACCGGAAAATCGGCTCAAAAAAGTGAAAAAGTCGCACAGTGTACGCCCGGCCACATATCCTGAGCTAGCCACAGGAGATGGGTTTCAGACCAGAGATTAGCTTGTGGGAGAGGAGCAGGGCCTGATGACAAGATTGCAGGATTTTCAAAGTAAAACTCAAAATTTACAGCTTAAACAGGAAAATGTATGAATGCAGCCAAAAAATGGCTTTGTTTGTTTTTGTTGGTTGTTTTTTTTCATGAGGAAATAACATCACATGGTAAAAAGCTCCAAAAGTGGAGCTTTAACTCTTAGCAGGTGCAGTGTTCCACTAAAACCACCACCACCCACTAGGTTAAGTTCCTCACTTCCTGTTTTACTTCCCTGAAAGTGTTAAATAATAACATAACTCTGCTGCTAGAAAAGATGAGTTATCAACAAAAAAAAGTACAATTATATATGGGATCATAGATTATTGTTTGTTTTAATCACAAATTTGAACAGAAACACAAACACGAGGGTCTTTGGGCTGTGCGGAGCAGTACAAGTAGAGATGTTTTAGATTATTTGCCATTTGATTTAGAAAAATTGAATGAAACAATTAAATGAATCATTCTAAGCATGTCACTAACTGATCTGTCCAGAGTCTGCTCTCCCTTCAAACTGTTTGTAGTCCATGGGATTTTTAATCCAACTAAATCATGCAGATTTCATTTGTCACCCAGCAGCAGCACTGTGTTGGGTTATCAGAGGTTTAAAACTCTGATGTTTAGAATTGTTCCATTCCTTTTGAAGTAAATAGATTTAAAAACTAATAGTTTATCTAAAGATCCAGCCTCGATGTCCCATCCCCACCCCCTGGCCTGACCCTCCACTAGAGACCCTGCTCTCCCCGGTGTCTGCCTGGACCTCGACACTGCTTTGTGCATCTTCTCTACTCTCTTCTTGTCGTTCTTTCTCTGCGAATCCATACAGTTGTATTTGACTGCCGCGGACAGTAACAGTGGTCACTGCTGGCAGTTAAAGCCCTCGGAGAGTTCCAGGTCGTTTTGGTAAACTCCACCTGCTATGCTAACAGGTACTAAACACGTCCGCCTCCTCCACCTGTTGGCCTCCTCCTCCTCTGTATCACCTCCCAACCTCCTGGTTCTACTGCCCCCTTCCTGTAGGTCCCACTGGGGCGGAGGGGACCCCTCCTCACTGCCCTAATGTCCCTGATGTCTGATCTGATGTTTGTACCCTGTGCTGCATGTCCGCCTGCCCCCTACACCTAAGAAAATTTCAAGAGAAACATGTCAGACGCAGTTGTCTGGCTCTGGAAACGTTTAACTGGTCAGCAGGATTTAGATTAGTCCTAGATCTTAGAGTTGTGGGTGAGCTGTTAATATCTTAGAGTTGCGTTCATGAAGAGGTCTATTTACAGGACTGAAGTGTTTTTGTTTAGATGGTCTTTCAGAAATGTCTGGATAGAACTAAATCTGTAGCTCTTTCACAGCTTTTCTCAACCCTGTAAAAGCAGCACATGCAGCAGCAACATGAACAGATCAGAAATGGCTTTTCTCTTACTTTGATTAGAAGTGTGGAACGGCAGAAAAATGAAGTCAGCATCTGCTTCGTCACGGTACCAGTAGATGTCATAAACAGGATTAGCTCAGATTAGCTCAGGTTTTAGTTCTCATGTACTCTAAAGAACAAAACCAACAGTCCACCAGTTTAATAAACCTCCAATCTCTCACCCTCACTCACACACACACACTTACACACACACAGAGGTGGTGCTAGAACCAGACGTAGCTGTGATTACTTCTCTCTGCCCACCCGACCAGTGCTTCACTATTGCGTCATAATGAGATTAGATTTTGATGTACCAGATTATCCATGTTTCTTTATTTACTCTGCTGGGATGTGAAAGTTTGAGCAGCTTTGTTAATCTTAATGATTTTCCTGTATAAATTGTTTGTTGTTGTGATACAAATGAAGTTTATAGGATTTACAGAAAATGTGCAATAATGCATAAATGTGGACCCCGTTGTTATTTTGACACCAAAACCTTTAGAACTAATAATTGGAACTCAGAATTGGGTTGGTAAGCTCAGTGACCCTTGACCTCCATACACAGGTGCATCCAGTTATGAGAATGATTTATTTAAAGGGACCAATTGTATGTTTCCCTACCCGTTGAATATTCTCTGAAGAGCAGCAACATGGCAACTCTCACATGAGCTGAAAACAAAGATTGTTCATCATCGTGGTTTAGGGGAAGGATACAGAAAGCTGTCTCAGAGATTTCAGCTTCTGTTTCCACAGTTAGGAACATGCTGAGGAGATGGAAGACCACAGGCTCAGTTCAAGTTAAGGCTCAAAGTGGCAGAGCAATAAACATCTCAGATCATCAGAAGTGAAGAATGGTGAGAACAGTCAGAGTCAACCCACAGACCAGCACCAAAGACCTACAACATCATCCTGCTGCAGATAGTCACTGTGCATCATTCAACCATCCAATGCACTTTACACAAGGAGATGCTGCATGTGAGAGTGATGCAGAGGAAGCCGTTTCTCCACCCACAGTACCAACAGAGCTGCTTGAGGTTTGCTGAAGCACATCTGGACAAGCCAGCTTCCTTCTGGAACAAGGTGCTTTGGACTGATGAAGCTAAAACCGAGTTATCTGGGTGTAACAAGGGGCGTTATGCATGGAGGAAAAAGAACACAGCATTCCAAGAGAAACACCTGCTACCTACAGTAAAACATGGTGGTGGTTCCATCATGATGTGGGCTGTGTGGCCAGTGCAGGGACTGGGAATCTTGTTTAAGTTGAGGGATGCATGGTTTCCACTCAATATCAGCAGAATCTGGAGATCAATGTCCAGGAATCAGCAACAAAGCTGAAACTGCACCAGGGCTGGATCTTTCAACAAGACGACGACCCTAAACACTGCTCAACATCTACTAAGGCGTTCATGCGGAGGAACAGGTAGAACGTTCTGGAATGGCCATCTCAGTCCCCAGACCTGAATATTAGTGAAACTGTGGTGTGAGTTAAAGAGAGCTGTCCATCAGACCTGAGTGAACTAGAGATGTTTAGTAAAGAAGAATGGTCCAAAACACCTTCAACCAGAATCCAGACTCATTAGAAGCTATAGGAAGTGTTTAGAGGCTGTTATCTCTGCAAAAGGAGGATCTACTAATTATTGTGCTGCCCAAATCTATGCACCGGTCTAATTTTGTTTAAACAATTATTGCTTACTTTCAGTAAATCCTATAAACTGTTTCATTTGTCAAACATCACTGTGTGTCTCCTATATGAAATATTTAACTGTTTTATTGTAACAACCAACAGTTTATACAGGAAGATCATGAAGATTCACCAGGCTGCCCACACTTGAGTATCCCGCTGTGTTAGAGGCAGTTCTAAAATATTGTGAATAATGATGTTTGATGTAAAATTTAAACAAAATCTTTAAACACCTGATTGCTGCACCTTCCTGCTGTGGGACGTTATTCTTAATTTTTGGTATATTTTTACATATTTAGCAGCAGAACAATTAAAAGATCTTTTTTAGGCATTAAAATGGTCAAATACTTTGTGAAACCTATTTTATCTGAACATGGTGAGTAATGGAGCTTCAGGCTGTTTAGTAATAAACATAAATGTGAAATGCTGCCCTGTTCTGCCTGTTTTACCTGCATTCTAAAAATGCATGTGTCCGTCTTAAATGTTTCTAAACGTCTGGTCGTTTTTAGACAAACTAAACCACGGCTGGTTCACATTTATAGTTTCTTTGATGTTTTTGTCTCCTGTAGCTTTTGTCTGTTCTTGCCGTGTTTGAACCATTTATCCTCCCAGTAGCCTCTGGACTAACTTGTCTGCAAGTAATCTGTAGGATTTTCTCTGATCTGATAATTCTGCGGTTGTCAGTCTAGCCCACATTGCTCTGGGCTCGTGTGAAGCTTTTGATGCCTTATTTAGCAGAATTGGTTTCCCTCGTAGACTTTTACAACAAACATTTGTATCCTTGTCAGATGAGAAAATCCTACATGATGTTGAACAGATTCTCCTCATCGTGTACAACCAGAGCAGTGCATTTTTTAAATTGTTACCAGTAAACTGGTGTTTCTCTCTACAGTATACCTCCAGCATGCGAGCAAAGTACCTGGCCAACAGCACCCGACCAGACCCAAACGACCCCCCAGCACATTAAAGCCCACGGCTGTGACCCCCCCCCCCCCCCCCTCCCCTCCCCTCAGTCCATCTATTCTCTCCTTCGGTGAACAGGTTCATCCAGTCTTCTGCTTCTTCTCGTCCTGTCAGACTTGATTTGAACCAAATGTGCTTTTTTACTGGTTGGCTGAAGCAGAACCTGAGGACACGCGTCGGATCTCATCGGCCATAAAGTGCAGTTACTCCTTCTGTTTATGAACGCGTGAAACTACAAAGGTGCTGGGGACTGCAGGTCTTTTACACCAGGGCACCGTGGCGCGTCCGAGACGTGGCCATGTGACGGACATCGGACGTGCTGAGAAACTAACACTGGTTGTTTTAGTACTGTACCGTGCTCATGTGACTTGTACATTCAGGAGGAATCCACCGTTTTTCTTCTCACTTGAAGCGTAGAAATGATCTGTCACCTGATGCCCTCACCCGAAATCAAACCTAGATTCACATTACGGGGACATTTTCTCTGGACTCTTTCTTGTCTTTTGGAGCTTGAAACAAACTGAACATCACACACACACACACACACACACGTTAGCTTTGGCATTAGCTCTCTGGCATTTTGTCGTAACTCTGACGTCTGGGACCAGTTTATCTGCGGTATTGCACCTTTTATTGCAAGCTTCTTTTTTGTATTTAGTTTTTTAGTCCCTGTTGCTTTTTGTAAATAGTGTGACGAGCTCTTCCACCACAGCTGTGGACACACACATCTGGACATGGTTGGGCTGATGAAATGAAAAGGATGAGTTCAACACTGGTCAGGAGATTTTATACATCCTTTTATACATCTGATAATAGATGAGTGATTACAAATATCTTAGGACAAGGTGCTGTGCTCGGTGTCCTCCTGTTTGCCTTTTTAATCAGGACTAAGAACTATTTACACACATTTTTACTCGCTGGCGCTGACACTCAGAAACACAGCAGCGGAGTTTAAACTCGAGGAAAGAGTTTCCTAAAACCGTAATGCACTGGCAATGCTATGCCGCACAAATGTGTTGTAGCATTTTTCAGAGTAGAAGAGGTGAGAGGGTGCTATAAACATTTAACTCCCTTAACCTTTCTGTTGTGGCATGAACAACCTTCAGGTGTGAAGTGAGATGTTTGTACTTTGCTGCTTCTTCTCTTCAACATGCTCTGTGGCCAGTGAGAGGTGACGTGAGACCGTGCCAACGCCTGAAGCACAAACCTCTTATGATCGCTCATTTTTAATGTCTTTGCTTCAGTCTGCTTTCTTTGGTGGCTCTGGGAAGCAAAATGAGCCTGACTTAAAAACATGTATGCTTTTTTCCCACTGATGCAGTCTTTTAATTTTTTGTAGTTGTGTTTTCTTTATGATGCTATGTTGTACAGGTAAGAAATAATTACCAGAGAAAAAGATTATTTTCTTTCTTAAAAACTTATTTTAAACTTTTTTTTACTGTAATTGAAAATCAGCAAATGTTTTGTGATGCTGTGGAAATGTAAATAAAATTGAAGTGAAACTGTCAGGGTTTTTTTTTTCTTTAATGTAAAATAGATTGCAGTAGAAATGTTTTATACTTGATTTTGTAATGTGTCTGTGTAAACGCTGTGGTTATTCTGAGCTGAATGGTGTGTTCCCAAATAAAGAAACCTTGACCCAAGTCCAGCAGCTCTTGGAACTTTAGTTTCAGGGAAACTTGCAGCGAACAAACACAAGGGGGCAGCAGAACGTCACTCTTCATGTTGGGTCCCAAACCCATCAAATATAAATAAGAGCATAGCAACACAACAGCTAATTTACGGTTTTATCTTTTCGTCGCTGCTGATTAAAGTTTTGAACAAGCATTTTGTGCTACTTTTGACAGTTTAATTTTTGGAAACCATCTCATCTCGTGACTATAGTTCATTCAGTGTTTCATGACCTGGCCCCTACAGAAACAGTCAGGCGTTTCCGAGGTGCGGCCCCCATCTTTCATTTCTAAATGGGTGAATTCATTTCTCCTGTGAACTTCTGATTGAGACTTTAACATTTTAATTAACAATGTTTACTCCTTTACATATTTTAGACTAATATTGAGATCAAGTTGAAATAATGACCATGAAATAATGTTTGCATTTCATTAAATAAAAAATAATCACATTTCGTGGCCCGTGAAGACCATTAATTTGACTATTCTGGTCGTTGTCTCGAAGGGTTTGGACAACCCTGATGTACGGAGTACTCTGTTGTTCTTTTAGCATTTGAACCTTTGAAGCAATGTTAAAATTGTGGTTACTAAACCACCTTCACTTTCACAATAAAGTGTTTTAATGGGGTTCTTTAGATTGCTGTTGTGAGTGCTGCCACAAAAAAAGTTTGTTCCCGTCTGCCTCTTTATAATCTGACTCTTAAGAGAATCTAGACTTGGCACCTAGCCTGCATCTGAATCTATAGAATTCCCCTTAAAGGTGCAGAATGTAAGAATATATTGAGACTTCTACAGTGAGAAAGTCAAATGATGTTTCAGTCATTTTGGAAGGAACCATATCTCCTATCCAGCTGGCTGCAGGGATTGTCAGTTGTTCTCCTTTCAAAACAAAGGAAGGAGGGACGTAACTACTGTTTACCATCGGTGAATGTGGGGGGTGCCGTGTCTCCTGCAAGCTAATGCTGCAGCGCCGACTATTGTAATTTGACCACGGCCAGCAAGAAGCTCCAGAGATGTTTAAAGTGGTTGCAGTAACCAAATTCTACCACAAGATGTCATTTTTACTTCATCCCTATATAATGCACCTTTAATGTTTTGATTCAAGTTAATTATTGTTTGTTTGTTTGTTTGTTTGTTTTAGCCACTATTACCTCACCCACCCCAAAGTCTTGCCACCAAGGAGCTTTTTGACAACCTCAGTGACCTCAGCTCTAGAGATGTCCAGGAGAGCCCAACCATAAGTCCCCGGACTCTGCTCTCCAATCTCTGGTGCTGAGGTCACTGAGGATGTCAAAAAGTTCCTAGGTGTTGATTTTAATGAAAATTTAATTTGAACTAAACAAATAGTCGGTGCTGAGGCCCAGAGACAGAAACTTTTACCAAAATTACAATCTCCGTCTTTCTGAACAAGTGAAGAACCTGGGTGTCATCTTTGACTCTGAGCTGACTTTTATCCATATTAAAAATATCAAAATAGGTTTCTATCACCTAAAGAACATCGCCAGAGTCCGCCCCATTCTCTCTCGGGCCAATACGGAGACGCTGATGCATGCTTTTATTACCAGTAGAAGGTAGAATAGACTACTGCAATGCCCTGCTTTCTGGTCTTCCTTAAACGATTTCAGGTCTACAACTTTTACGAAACTCAGCAGCACGTGTCCTGACGAAGGCCAGGAGGCGGGAGCACATCACTCCAGTTTTAGAATCACTGCATTGGCCCCCTGTGTGTTTCAGGGTCGATTTTAAAATACTTTTGACATTTTTTAAGTGTTTTAATGGTCTTGGGCCTTCTTATCTTTCAGAACTGCTTTTACCGTCTAAACCCACACGGTCTGCGCTCCTCTAGCAGCCGTCTCCTTGTCATCCCTTAAGTCAGGACTCAAATTCACGTCGAGGCGTCCTTCCAGTACTATGGTGCTCACGTCTGGAACGAGCTGCCAGGGGACCTCAGGGCCGCGGAGAACGTTCATGTTTTTAGAAAAAGGCTCAAGACCCATCTTTTTAGCTTAGCTTTTAACTGAGTACTATCACTTTAAATTAATTAATTAGGTTATTTATTTATTTTATGTATTCTTTATTTATATGTGACATTTTCAAACAGTTTTTTTTACCATAGATTAATGATCAACATTATTTTAATATCTATATAACTTTTTATATTACAATTCTCATTTTAGCTCTTAAGATTTTATATTTTAACCTTAATTTAACCGTTTTCCAGTGTTTCCTCTGTGGGTGCCCTTTGCCCCGGGGGCGGTGGTCAGCTGTGGCGGCTTTCCAGGTGTGCCTGGGTGGAGGAAAGGGGTCTCTGCCCCCCCCGCCAGTATTTACAATTAGGTGGCACACGGTCTGCCATCAGAAATGGCAGCAACCTAAACAGGCACCACTTTTGTGATGCTGATCCAACAATGCCAACAGTATGAAGTCTCTCTGGTAACTATTTTAACAACATACTTTTGGAGAAAGATCAGGGTGTTCTTCAGATGTCTTGGATTTGCAAGGTTAAAGACTAAGTACATGCAGAAAGAAGAGAGGATTCCTTCAAAAACAGATGAGGCTCTGCACACTTCGCTGCCATCCAGTTCCACAATGTTTGGAGCTCTTCTGGACAAAACTGGTTTCCAGTCTCCATGGAGTAGCTGAACAGTTGGATAGGGGGTTTTAGGATGAACCTTTAATACCAAAAGGAAAAGTAGAGGAAGGCAAAAGCTTAGCATCATTAACATACAAAGACGACTTGGTTGTCCTTTTTAAAATAAATACTCTTTACACTTACTGTCCAGGAATGACAAACATCCAGTTTCTCCTTAAAGGAACCAAAGGGCTGCCCTTATGTCAACATCTGCAAAACATAACACAAGATCAACTGTGCATATTAACCAGATGATGTTAGACAGGAGTCTCCATGGACTGTGATGTTTTCACACCAGGTTGAGATATGTACTGGAAGAGATATTAAGATTAGTCACAGCCACGCGTGTAAATGAGGGGGGCACAAGTGATGTTACAGGGAGTGGAAAACTTTAAAGCAGGGGTCTCCAACTCTGGTCCTCGAGAGCTACCATCCTGCACATGTATTGTTTCTTTGCTCCTACACACCGGATTGAAATGAATGAGTAATTAACAGGCCAATGCAGAGTTAAGGATATGATTAAATTACTCAATTCAGGTGTGATAGAGCAGGAAACACACAAAACTAGCAGAATGGTAGCTCTCGAGGTCCAGAGTTGGAGTTGGAGACCCCTGCAAAGAATTAAGGTATATGGTCCAAAGCTACAGAGAGGATTGAAAAGAAGTGAAAAAGAGTGGGAAGCAAATTAGAATGGGTGGAGAAAAGTGTCAGATGTGATGTGTGATCAAATGATTTTAACAAGAATAAAAGGAAAGGTCGAGGACAGTAGTGAGCCCAGCCATGTTGTCCAGTTTAGAGACAGCATCCACGAGAAGAAGAAACAGGAATACAGAGCTGAAGGTTACAGAGCTCAAGAAGTTGAGGTTCTCTTTGGGAGTGACCAAGACGGATAGGATCAGGAATGAGTTCATCAGAGCGATGGCTCATCTTTGATGATTTTGAAGTCAGAGGAAAGACTGAGATGGTTTGGATATGTCCAGAGGAGAGTCAACGATTACAAAGGTAGAAGGATGCTGAGGTTAGAGCAATCAGGAAGGAGGCTGAACGGAGATTTATGGATGTGGTGAAAGAGGATATGAAGTCAGTCAGTGTGAGGGTAGAGGATGCAGAAGATGGGGGAGAAATAGATAAAAACCATAGCTTTTAACCAACATTTCAACATACTTATAATTGTAAACATTCAAGTTCAGAAAGCAACATTTCTGAAATCCATATAACTTCACTAATTTTAAAGTACTAGTCACCCTCTTGACCAGAGTGTTAAACTAACGCACACAGGTTTAAGCCTGATATAATGGTAACAACAACAACGTCCCCTAACCGTACCCCTGTTTCTGACTGTGTACTCAGGATTTCAGAGAGAGCAAAAAAAGAATAATCTGTGAGCAGAGAAGACAGGCCTTGTGAGAGCAGCTTTGATCAGCGCAGAGAGAAAGTTGTGTGTGTGTGTGTGTGTGTGTGTGTGTGTGTGTGTGTGTGTGTGTGTGTGTGTGTGTGTGTGTGTGTGTGTGTGTGTGTGTGTGTGTGTGTGGAGCAAATAGCTTTTTAAGAAGCATAAAATCTGAGAGCAGAAACGAAGATTTGAGGGAGAAGAGAGCATGTTTGAAAGAGAGCAGACATTTTAAGAGCACGAATTACAACTTTTGAGAGCAAAAATAAAAAATCTTATTGTCAAATGAAAAAGTTGGTTTCTTGATATGAAAATCTCAAAAATAAAAATGCAAGCACTCAGTTGTGGCATTTTAATTCTTCCATAGTGAAAAGAGCCAGCTCGTGTCTGTGACCCCTCAGAGTCGACTTCAGGCCACCAGTCTGGTTTAGTCACTCCCTCTCTGCCGCCAGCCAGCTGCTGTCTCTGAGAACATGCTGTTGATTTGAAAGCTTCCGAGCTGAAACACACTTTTAGGGAACAGAAAGCAGAAAAACTTGACTTTTTACACGTTTTTGTTTACCAGCTCTTTGGTTTTAGGCCTTCAACTGACAGGGGATGATTTGTTTTTTTTGTTTTTTTTTTACTTTTTGTTTGAGTTAAGTTTTAAAAGTTTAACATAAAGACTACATTACTCCTCTGGTGTTTGTACTAAACAAGGCAGTAAACAAACAAAGCATGATGGAGGCGGGGAGGTTTTTACAGCGTTCAGAGCTAAAGATGCAAATGAAATTTCACACAGTCGCACTGTGGAGGAAATTGAATTAGCATGCTTGTTGCTGAGTGGAGGAATGCATCACTAATGCTTTGAGGTGATGAGCTGAATGGAGTAGAGGAGGAAGAGGAGGGAGTGCTTGGTCGCCCCCCCCCCAAATGGACATTTCCTGCGTCTGTCTGGGATCTCTGCCAAGT